TTTCTTGTTGTTTTGTTGATGGTTTCTTTTGCTGTGCAGAAGCTTTTTATTTTGATGTAGTCCCATTTGTTCATTTTCTCTTTAGTTTCCAATGCCCTCGGAGATGTATCGGTGAAGAAACTGCTTCGGCATATGTGTGAGATTTTGTTGCCTTTGGATTCTTCTAGTATTTTTATGGTTTCCCATAAAAATGTAAATTTAAGTCCTTTATCCATTTTGAGTTTATTTTTGTGTATGGTGTAAGTTGGTGGTCTAGTTTCATTTTTTGCATGTATCTGTCCAATTTTCCCAGCATCATTTATTGAAAAGACTGTCTTGACTCTATTGTATGTTCTTGCCTCCTCTGTCAAATATTAATTGAGCATATTGGTTCAGGTCGATTTCTGGGTTCTCTATTATATTCCATTGATCTAGATGTCTGTTCTTGTGACAGTTCCAGGCAGTTTTGAGAACAGTGGCTTTGTAATACAGCTTGATATCTGGTATTGTTATTTTCATTAATTCTATAATTTAAAACTTCCTCTTCTCAAGTCATAGCAGCCCTATAAAGTATTCTGCTATCAAATTAGATTTCCATATAAATGCTACAAGTCAGAACTGGAAAAATTGTGACTTTCTGTTCCAAGAAAGTGATACAATGTTATGATAAAATACCACAAAAATGAATTACTCTGCTCTTACTTTACAACAATATAGTCTGAAAATTATTTAAGATACTAACCCACTTTGTCAAAATGTAAAAATATCTAGGTAGAACAAATGCAGCGACTGTATTTAAACTACTCAAAAGTAATGGCACTAGGCACAGAATTAGCCTTAATGTGGCATAAAAAATTCAGTATGTGCTTCATTAAACATATTATAAGATGGTAAATTGGGCCCTGGATAAACTAGATATATCAGTCAGTTGATGTCAAAAATAGTGACATAGCTTTAATCAATCACCAAACCCTATGAAGGTAAAAGTCACTATGCTCAAGTTAAATGTTATTTAAAAATTACTTCAGGTGGAACTAAAGAGCACTTCCTCATTGCTTTAGCTTCCTATATTCAAATGAATTTAATCAAAATGAATTGGTGCCTATGGTAACCATCAATTTTAGTAAGCACTGAATGTACATGACAGAGCAGTCAATTTTGTTTTAGCTGAAACACATACACACATACAAAAAAAAATATTCCTAATTCAAAATTTATTTATATTTAACTGACAGCTATTTTCTCCATGTATTTTAATTACAAAAAAATAAATATTTCTTGTATGGGAGATAAACACAATACAAAACATTTCTTCAATAATATCTAAAAGGTAATGTTTGAAAGTTTTGTCTGGTCTGATAAAAACTCACATCTATAAACTCACATCTATGGCATACTGTTGCTGACCCACATTTTTTGTATACCGGGAAATTGAGAAACACTCATGAAGTTTTACTATAATTCTTTCAAAAAGCATAGGTTAGATTGCCTTAGATATGCAAGTCTGATCTTTTCATAGAAGCTCTTTGTTGTGTCTCAACAAAAACATCAATTACACAGTTGTAAGTGTGTGCACAGGATGGTCAGTAAGAACATTCCTCAATTTACTATCAGAAGTAGAGAAAAAAATTTCAATGATACAGGAACTAAGTAACACCATTAATCTGAGAAGATGGGTACTGGTTATGTGAGCACAGGAACTGGAAGGATAGAGATAGGAATCAAGCCTATTAAAAAATGCCAAAATTGAAACTGTGCAGGGCAACAAAGCAGAGGCAGAAAGGAAATACAGGTGTCAAAACACACAGAGATAGCCATAATGACAAACAACCTATGCCTAAGGATGAGAAAGACACTCTATATCAGGGATTCTTACCTAAATCAATGGATGGATTAAAACTGGCACAAAATTTGTGCATGTATATGCATCATTCAAGAAAAAGGTCTAAAACTTTCACAAAATTCTCACAGGGATCAAGACCCAATTACTAATGCTCTAAGTCAGGGGTCCTCAAACTACGGCCTGCGGGCCACATGCAAATACAAATGTTGTATTTGTTCTCGTTTTGTTTTTTTACTTCAAAATAAGATATGTGCAGTGTGCATAGGAATTTGTTCATAGTTTTTTTTTTTAAACTATAGTCCGGCCCTCCAACAGTCTGAGGGACAGTGAACTGGCCCCCTGTTTAAAAAGTTTGAGGACCCCTGCTCTAAGTATTAAGTACTCTAACTTGAATCCTATCTAATAA